CTGGGCCCGGCTGGGGGTGGTTCTGATGGACTCTGTTTGCCTTCCAGCAGGCTGATGTCAGCTTCCAGAAACTGAATAAGGTGAGCAGCTGTGGCCTCACTCAGGGCAGGAGGGCACTGGGGGTCACAGGTGGCCCCGGTCGGGACCCCCATGCATCACCCCTGCAGCTTTGCTCTATTAGGAGGGCTGGGTGCACATGAGGGGGAGACCCATCCCTAGGGTGGGTGAGGGTAGAGGACTGGAATCAAGGAGAAGCCCCTGGGGAGGGGCTGTTTGCACCCCCGTCGGAGGCCAGGGTGGGGCCTGCATGGGCTGGAGGGGAGGAGGCCTCTTAAGAGGAAACACCCAGAACCTCACAACCCCTCCCCTACCAGTTCCCCACAGCGTTCCTAGCCCAGGCCCTAACAGTGTCCTGTGTGTCCCTCCATCCCCAGGAAATTAAAGTCCTGCAAGAAATCCAACTACTGCAGGTGGCAGCGAGCAAGTATTATTTTAAGCGTGATGAGGAGTTTGGCCTGTGGTTCCGGTCTGTGGAGTTTCTCACGGAGAAGGAGAGGTGAGTGATGGGCAGGAATTAAGTGAAGCCTAGTGTGGGGGTGGGGAGGGCTCTCCCTGCTGTGCAGCTGCAGGAGGCATTGTCCAGGCCCCCTGGTGGACAGCAGGCCCTGTCCCATGGGCACTTCTGGCCCCAGGACTGCAGCTCCTGGACAGGCCCTGGGAGGGAGGCCTGAGTTGAGGCTCTTGGTGGACTCATGGTTGTGCTCTCTCCGTTAGCTACGCCCTCTCCTGCCAGCTGGAGCCCCCTGTCAAGAAGCCCACATCAGCCTCAAGGCCATGAACACCATCGTGATGCCCTCGTGACCGAGTGCTAGAACCTCAGGAGCAGATCTGAGCTCATTGTGAGCCTGGTGCCTGGGACAGTGGCCTCCCTGCTGTGAAGCTGAGGCTTGCGTTGTATCAGTTTAATTGCCCCTCTTATGTTTTCTCTTTTCCCCCATTTAACTATAGTCACTGTTAGTAACTCCCTAGTAGAGTTTTATTAAAGTTAATATAAATATGTTGCATCATGAGTTTCATGCTTCCTCATCATTGCTTCCCCATAACTGAGGTTGTGAGCGGTGTTCCACCCGTGCAAATGTGCCGCGGACATGGGCCCCTCCTAGTTGCAGCTCCTGGAGCTGCACCTTGCTGTTTGAGGTTCCCTGAGGTTCTTCTCCTAAGAGGATCTGGCAGATCATGTGATGCCTGGTGTAAAAACACTGCCTCACTCCTCCTGCACTTTCTGCCCTGGGTTTAGGATATTGGGTCCAGCCTGGCCTGGTCTGGCTGTGGTGGGCAAATGGGAAGTGAACCAGCAGATGGAAGGTCTCTCTCTCTCTCTCACTTTGCCTTCTAAATATATAAAAGAGGGGCTGGTGGGCTGGTGCTGTGGCATAGTGGGTAAAGCTGCCACCTGCAATGCTGGCATCAGGGGTGTGTTCGAGTCCCGGCTGCTCTCCTTCTGATCCAGTCCCTGCTATGGCCTGGGAAAGCATTGGAGGATGGCCCCAGTCCTTGGGCCCCTGCACCTATGCAGCAGACCCTGAAGAAACTCTGGCTCCTGGCATCCGATCAGCCCAGCTCCAGCCATTGTGGCCATTTGGGGAGTGAACCAACAAATGGAAGACCTCTCTATCTCTCCCACTAACTCTAGCTTTCAAATAAATAAATAAGTAAAATAATAAATCTTTAACAATAGAAAAAAAGAATAAAAAGCATTTTAGATGGAATGTAAAAATACTACCACAATGTCAAAATGCTTTATCATAAAAGTTTGTTTTGATGTCTGTATCACTACGGGACACATTAATGGCTAGTATCCCTGAGACATCCAAAAGAATGTGTTGCTTATTTTCATAGGAACAAGCCGTCTGTTTCTGGAAATAATGGACACACTAAGGGCTGGGCTTCATGGCAGCAGGTGCCCCTTCCTGACACTTGCTTTGATCTCTCATTCTCCATCTTCTCTGTATTAACTTTTCCATGTCCCCACATTTTCACTGGAACTTGCATCTTCAACCTGCGAGGCGACAGCAGTGCTGCAGGGTCAGCACCTGTGCCTGTGGACGCCACATTTGTCTTCAAGTCCCCTCACGCAGAGCTGTCTTAGGAAACGTTCCCGACACACCTGGGAGCCACCAGCTTTGCAGAAGCTAGGCACACCTGAGGGGAGTCCCAGGGCCTCAGGCACCAGCGCTGACACACGGTCGGGCCAACCGACACCTGACGCTTGCTGTAAATGATGTCGGAGGGCAGGGACTCGACCTGGCCTTTCTGATTCCAAAGGCTGACTTGAACTTGTCTTCTTGCACTTTGCTGTGTCTCACCTTTGTCAGCATTCAATCATTGCGTGAGTAGTCACCATCAGGCACATGGCAGTGTTTTCCGGTTGGGGCTCTGAGTGCTGGTATTTAAACTCTGGCACAGGTTTTGGTGACACGGCACAGATCTGTCAGGTATGTACATAGTGGAGGAGCTACAGCGTAGAAGCTGCATCTCTGCACCCTGGGGGACACTGCTTGGGTTCCTGGAACGCTTGTAGCATTGCACACCCACAGCACAAGCTCCCTTGCATGGCCGTGACCCTGCCAAATGGTGCTGTCCTTCCCATTGTGATCGCCTGACTGCTCTGTGCTTTCAGGCTCCATCTGAGTGTACCTGATTCCTAAAGAACTTGAGCATTGTTGCAGGTGTTGGTCACTGAAGAACCTCTTTTATAGAGACATTTAGGGGTGCGTGATGGGGTGCTGTGGGGTAGGCCGTTGCTTGGGACAGCTGCATGCCATATTGGTGTGCTACGCTGCTTCCCATCTGGCTCCCTGCTAGTGCAACCTGAGAGGTAACGGATGCTCGCTCAAGTGCTTGGGTCCCTGCCGCCCACACCGGAGATCTGGATGTAGTTCTGGGCTCCTGGCCCCTGCCTGGCCCAGCCCTAGTTGCTGCAAGCATATGGGGCCATCAGCAGATAGATCTCCCACTCACCTTGCCTTTCAAACAAATAGTTATTTTTAATTTATTTTAAAACATTGTTGCTGGGGCTGGCACTTCAGCTTAGCAAGGAAAGCTGCCACACCTGCAGTGCTGGCATCCCATATGCGTCCTGGTTTCGAATCCTGGCTGCTCCACTTCCGGTCCAGGTCTCTGCTATGGCCTGAGAAAGCAGTAGAAGATGGACCAAGTCCTGGGGCCCTTCACCCGCGTAGAGACCTGGAGGAAGCCACTGGCTTTGGATCGGTGCAGCTCCAGCCATTGAGGACAATTGGGGAGTGAACCAGCGGATGTAAGATCTCTATCTCTGTAACTCTGACTTTCAAGTAAATAAATCAATCTTTAAAAACTACACACATTGCTGCTTTTTATTTTTAGGTTTATTTTATTTGCTTGAAAGTTACAGAGAGAGGGAAAGAGATCTCCCATCCATTGGTTTACTCCCCAAATAGCCGCAGCAGCCAGGGCTGGGCCTGGCCAAAGCCAGGAGGATGGAACTGCACCCAGGTTTCCCACGTGGATGCTGGTGTTGCCAGCTGTGACTTTACTTGTTACGCCACAGCGACCTCCCCTGCCCCTAAATAATCTGCCTACAGGCACCTCTTCAGCTGCCTCACAAATACCTTGTATATTTTACCCACCTCAGCTGAGGCCAGAAATGCCAGTGGCCAAGGGAAGGCAGATACTTCTGCTCCACCACACTCGGGCCTGGCGGGCTGGGGGACCGCACCTTCTCTCAGAGAAGCCCCTGGCCGTGCCCCAGCCCTGCAGGCTCTCCAGACACAGGCTGCGGTCTTCCTGCCACCAGGTTCCTGGCTTTGAATCACAGCTGGGTGCCCTGACAGTACCTGGGGGGTGGGACTGCCTCCTCTGGGCTCCAGTCCATCACAAAGCCCGACTTGCAGGCAAGACACTCACCGGAGAGCAGAGGGCTTCTCTCCCAGCCAAGTGTCCACAGCCCCAGGGGAAATGACCTTCCTGAGGCCAAGGACATGCTGGGCACACACGGGCCAGGCCTGGATATCACAGAGTGGACTTCAGAGGGCCCCACTTCTGTGTGGGGTATCCCCATCCTGGCTGCTAGAAACCAAGGGCCTCGCCAGTTCTCTGAGGTCTGACTGCAGGGTTGGACCATGCTTCCTGTTCCTAGGCCAGTGGGTCCATCTATCCAGCACTCACTGAGGCTACAAAGCCTTGCAACTGATTGGGTGTGAGGCAGAAGCCTCTTGGTGTGAAGTGACGGGGTGACATGGAGCACTGGGCACCTCCACCCCACCTGCTGCCCAGCAGTGGGCCCGACACAGGAACACCCACCTGATCCCGGCACCCCGGCTCAGCTGCACAGCCCCCAGGCCTTCTCACTGGAGCGGAGCTGACACAGCTGCCTCCCGGGAGCAGCAGCACCAGCTCCTGGTGCTCAGCCTCACTGCCCGTGGCTGGCCATGCCTGACCCAAAACCCCCTGCAGGGGACACCAGCCCAGGAGGCAGGCCCTGCAGTCTGAATCCCGCTCCAGCAGGCTCAGGAGGGAGGGCAGCAGTGCAGGTGTGGGCGGATGTGTGCCCTGCAACTGCGGTATAGACAAGTTCATATGGGAACAGTGACTTACGTCTCTCTGAGAAGGGAAACCAGGAGACAGACTCACAGAGCACCACAGCCAGGAACAGCCACACCTGCCAGGAAGGCCCTGGAAGCTGGGGCAGAATCTCCCCTACAGCCCCCCAGGAGGGTCCAGCCTGGCTGACAGGTTGCCCCCAGACCTGCAGCCTTGGGAATTGTAACCGGCATTCCTGCTGTACCAAGCCACCTGAGGTGCAGAGCCCACTGGGGAACACTGCTGAAGCCAGGCAGAGCAGGATTTCAGACAAGCCTCAGCTGGGGGCCCGGCACCCCCAGGCCAATGCCCTCACTGGGGGTTCAGCTCCTAGACATGGAGGGCAAGGAGGGCTTTAAGTCCTTTCAAACAACCACAGCTCAGCTTCCAACTCAAATGTTTACCAAGGGCATCTGGGCAGAGAAAGGGGCATTCTGGGGCAGGTGCACAACAGTTAAAAAGGAGAGCTTTGCCTTCCTGGGGAGCCCCACTCCCCCGCACACATCCAAAGGGACCATGGCGGGTTCCCAGCCCTGAGCACCCTGGAGCTCCCACCATAGGGCTCCCCACCCCACCCCCACCAACAGCCTTTCAGCTGCCTTGGAGACAGGATGTGCTGTGCACCGGGTCCACTCCCCACCCAACCTGTTGGGCAGGGACAGCAGCCAGCCTGGACTCTGGGGTCCGTGCTCAGGGCAAGATGGGAATGTTAGTGCTGAGGACTGGTTGGTGACCCAGTGGTCCCAGGATGGAGACCAGCCCTCTGCCAGCTGGGGCGACCGTGTGCAGGGGCCTCTGAGATGGAACAAGCACTGGTGGGGCTACTGTGGCAGCAGGTGGGGCTAGACACGGCCCGGGCGCAGGGGGCAGCAGGAGCATGGGGCTGAGCCGTAGCCCTCAGTAGGAGTTTAGGGCCTGCTTGGAGCGCCTCTTCATGTGCACGCGCTCGTGGCGGAGGAGGTCCGAGTTCTGCCCAAAGCTCTTGACGCAGTAGCGGCACTGGAAGGGCCGCATGGCGTCCTTTTGGTGTGTGTGGCCGCGGTGCCGGGCCAGGGGCTCCCGGCGCTGGAAGCCCAGTCCCTCCTCGCTCTGCTTCTCCAGCTCCAGTCTGCTGGGCTGCCGGTGGATCCGCCGGTGGGAGAGCAGGTGGGAGTTGAGGCGGAAGCTCCTCCCGCAGGAGCCGCACCTGTAGGGCTTCTGGGCCTCGTGGGCCTCCAGGTGGCCGTCCAGGTCCTCGCCTTCGCTGAACAGCTTCCCACACACAGGGCACACGCGTGGCTTCTCCCGGTCCCGGCGGCTACGCAGGTGCCGTACAAAGTTGACCCTCCAGCGGAAGGCCTTCCCACACGCGGGGCACACGTAGGCTTTCCTGGAGGCGGGCACCTCGCCTGCCATCTCCTCACTGCCCTGGCAGGGCTGCGGCCCATGGGGGCTGTGCTGGGAGTCCTCGTCCCCAGAGCTGGACAACACGATCTCGATGGTCACCTCCTCCTCCTCCTCCAGGCTGTTCTCCAGGACCTGTGGGCCGCCTCCAGCTACAGGAAACCAAGCTGGTCAGGGGTGCCACCAGCCCCTGAGAACCCTACCCAGAAGGCCTGGCTCAAAGCCCAGAGACACCTGTTCCTGCAGTGCTCCTGGGTGATCTCGGTCCTGGCTGGCCCTGCAGGGACCACAGGTAGAGCCACAAAGCAGCCATCACGGCCCAGATGCTGTGCCCTTCTCTCCTCCCTCCCCTCTGGCCACAGAGGCCCCTCCAAGCTCAGAGCCTGCACTTCTCTGTGTAGGGTGGTAACCATGGGCACACCGTATACACCACCTTCCTTCCCCAGTGGGAGGTCCCAGGGGGTCCAGGAAGGTGCCTGACTCTGAGCAAAGCCCAGCCTCCCATTGCAGCCCAGTCACAGCCCACTTGCCCATCACAGCCCATCATTCTCCCATCCCACCCGGTCACAGCCCAGCAGCCATGTGGTTGTATGGTCATGCCACACACATGTGTGTGTGCATGCACCATGCATGGGTGTAACTCTGTGCTCCAAGCCCTGCTGTACCTGGGTGGGTGCTTGGAGGGAGCGCCATTTGCTGGAAGGCCTGGGACTCCAGCACCTGCAGCTCATCCTGTTTCCTTCTTTCTTCCACCTCGAACAGCTGGAGGGCTGGGAGGTCTTTGCAGGGGAAAGGGAAAATCGTGTGTCTGGCACTGGGGGTGCACCAGGGGCCGGGCTGTGAGCTGAGGGCAGCCCCGGGAGCCACTCAGTGTCACTGAATGAGTGAGCTTGAAGGCAGAAAGGGCCAGCACCACGAGGACGGGTCTAGAGCCAGCAAGAGGGGCCGGCACTGTGGCACAGAAGGTTTAGGCACGGCCGTGGCGCTGGCATCCTTATGAGCACTGGCTCCAGTGCTGGCTGCTCCACTTCCCATCCAGCTCCCTATAACATAGCCACTGAAAGCAGCGGAGTAGGGCCCAGGTGCTTGGGCCCCTGGCATCCACGTGGCAGACCTGGGTGGAGTTCCAGGCTCCTGGTTTCAGCCTGGTCCAGCCCTGGTTGGTGCAGTCCTTTGGGGAGTGAACCAGCTGATGGAACATCCTCCTCTCTTTCTGTCAACCACTGCCTTTCTTTCTTTCTTTCTTCCTTTTTTAAAAGCTTTATTTTTTATTTGAAAGGCAGAGTTACAAAGGGGGAGAGTCAGGGAGCTCTTCCATCTGCTGGTCACTCCCCAATTGTCCAAGAGGCTCAGATTGTGCCAGGCAGAAGCCAGGAGCTTCTTCAGGGTCTCCCACGTGGGTGCAGGGGCCCAAGCACCCACATCATCTTCCACTGCTTTCCCAGGCCATTAGCAGCGAGCTGCATCAGAAGTGGAGCAGCTGGAACGTGTTGCAGGCAGTGGCTTTACCTGTTTTACCTCAAGGACAGCCCCAAAACTCTCTCTTTCAAAAGAATGAATAAATAAATATAACTGTGCAAAAATAAAGCCTTTGAAAGGATCAGTACTGACCCTGGTCTGCGCTTCTCCCTCTGGCAGGAGTAGAGCAGGCCCTCCCCTGCCCTGGGGTGCTTTCCCTACAGGCCTATGAATACCCAGCTGGACTGGTGGGAGGTGGTGGGGACTTGCGGTGGCTGGGACGGGGGCGACCACAGGGCGAGGATGGAAAGCGCGGGGTGGGACACATGGCAGCGTGGCTGCTGGCCTCAGAGCTGATGCAGGCAGGCGTGGGCACCCAAGCCCATGTGCTCCAGGGCATCTTTGAGTCCCATCGACAGGGGGCGCTGATGCTGAGGATCCTGCACATGCTGTCCCCCAAGGTGCAGACTTCCCAGCCCCAGCACTGCAGGCCCCAGGCACAGAAGGACTGCCCGAGCCCTAGCACGCACCAGGCCTAGGGTGGGTACCTGAGGGACACCTGGCCCCAGTGTGGCTCAGTTAAAATGAGGGACAGGGACAGGGCAGGGCATTAGGACCCAATGACAGGAACAGGGACAGGGCTGGGCACCAGTACCCAGACAGCGACAGGGACAGGGCAGGGCACCAGTACCCAGACAGCGACAGGGACAGGGCAGGGCACCAGTATCCAAACAGCGACAGGGACAGGGCAGGGCAGGGCACCAGTACCCAGACAACGAAAGGGACAGGGAGAAAGCAGGACAGCAGTACCCAGACAATGACAGGGACAGGGCAGGACAGCAGTACCCAGACAGCGACAGGGACAGGGCAGGGCACCAGTACCCAGACAGCATATGAGGGCTGCTCAGGAAACCCGGAAACAGCCTGGCTCTGCCCCCTCGCCCACCCAGTTCTGGAACCTTCACTCACCAGTCGGGGAGGCCTGGGGTGCTTCCTTCCCCTGCAGCTCCAGCACCTCTGGCAGCAGCTCACTCTCCTCTCCCTGGAAGGGGCCTGGCAGGGCGGCTGGGTCATCTGCTCCAGGAGAAGGCAAGGCACCCCACTGAGCAGCTCCCAAGGTGGCCAGCGCAGCCAGGCGCAGAGCCCAAGAAGCTGAGCGGAGAGGGGGGAGGAGTGTGGTGGGCAGGAACCCCTAGGGGCAGGGCCGGGGCCTTCAAGGCCGGCAGGTGTGAAGCCAGAAGCAGACAGGGATGCTGGGCCTCTGGTGACAGACAACCCGGGAAGCCTGAGCCACAGGTGTTAAAATGGGGGCAGGAGCCAGGGCGACATTTGCTGAGCCACCAGGCACAGACCTGAATACACCTCCAGTCTCCTGCTGTTACAGGGGGGAGCTCCTGGCAGGGACCCCAGCCCCCAATCTGGTGCACAGTCGCACTCGGGAGGGAGACCCTGGCAGGGACCCCAGGCCGCCATCCAGGAGCCGGGTCTTACTTGGGGTCACGGAGACTCCGCAGTCCTCCCCAATGATGAACTCTCCATAGAAGCCAGTCTGGCCGGGGTCCAAGAGGGACCAGTCCTCTTCAGAGAAGCACAGGATCATGTCCTTGAAGGGAGAAGCCCGGCTCTGGAACCAGAGGCCAGGCCTGGGTCAGGGGCTGACAGCACACTGTGGACAGACGCAGAACCAGGGACACGAGAAGCCGGGCATCGTCTGGTGAGGGCCTGCATCTCAGCTCAGGGACCTCCTGGGGCAGAAGGTTCTGGTCCTGCCTCCTGGGACCTCACACGGGGGTCAGGGGTTCATTCATGAAACCTGGGCACAGACGTCCCCACCCTGGCGCTCCAGCCCCGGCAGCCCAGGCCCACGTCCTCCTTGCAGGCTAGCACGGTCCTTGCATCCCAACAGCCCCCGTCTGGTGCAGGTGGCACCTGTGTCAGGTGTGGCTGCAGGTGTGACTGTGGAGATGACTGCTCCTGCCGGGAGTGGGATCAGGCACATTCCAAAAGGGAGAGATGCGGGACAGGAGGGACAGGTCCCAGACAAGTCCCAACCTGCGGGCGGGACAGCAGCCCTCTCTGGGCCTGCATCTGGGCCTCCAAGGCTCTGTGGCTTTGGGCGGCCCTGCCCCCACGCCCCTCAGTGTCCCAGCTGGGACGTCCCTGAGTGTCCCAGGCTGGGTCCAGGACAGCGACTCCACCAGTCAGGAACTCTTGCACTGACGCTGTCCCGCCCGGGAGGCACAGCGCGGGGACTTGGGGCCATGTGTGGAGTAAGCCAGCTGATGGAGTCAGCCTCTCTCTGCCTTTCTAATGCACGCTCACAGGGCCACACCTTTCCAGCTGTCTCCTGAGCTGCACTCTCATTCTCCTTAACCCAGACAGCCTGAGAATGTTCCGGATCTTCAGGCTCTGCTTCCCTTCTGAGTACCAACTCCATCACAAATCGTTCCCCTGGTCTCACGTTCATCACCCACAAGGTGTGCCTTCCACAGGGCACGGATCGGGGCACCCCCACTCAACCCCTCCCCTGTGTGACCAGGCCTTGCCCACCCACGTGTCCACCAACAACCTGTTCTCACCGCACAGGACCAGAGGTTGGCCCCCGAGGACGGCGCTCCCCTGGCCCCGAGCCCTTGCCCGGGCATTCACAGCAACACAGCTTTTTCTAGGACACAGCCCAGACCCTTCCAGCCTCTCCACAGCACCCGGCTCAAAAGCCACTCCCACACGTGGTCTGTCAGCCGGCACCTGCTGCCCTCTGGGCCGGCCTCCCCCAGGTGTCCTCGGCAGCTGTGCAGAGGGCCCTGCAGGGTGGTGCTGGGCCGAGGCCCTGCCCTGGTCACAGCGGCCTTCCTGTCACTGTCCCCGCTTGGCAGAGGGGCTAGGCAGCTGGCGGTCTCTTACCGGCTCTTACCACCATCTGCTTGGAGACTAGGATTCCAGACCCTGATTCTGAGGGATGCACACATTCAGACCCTTGCACCAGGGGAGAGGGTGAGCTGGAGATGGGTGGGGAGGAGCCCCAGCAGCACACAGCTCAGGGCCGGATGTGAGAACAGGCCTTCTCCCAGTGCTCCCAGCGACACCCGCAGTCCACCACGGTGCTCACCCCCAGTCTACTCTGAAGGTGCAGTGTGAGGTGGGCAACGGCTCCCTGCACCCCCCTGAGAAGGGATGCAGCAAGGGCAGCACTGACGCACCCAGCGAAGGGGTGAGGTAACCCACAGGCAGCCTCCAGGGACAGACGCACGTGCACCAGCAAGAACCAGTCAGGAGGAGCACGGCGCAGAGGGCAGTCTGGCTGGTCACCACGTACAGGGTGCCCAGAAGGAGGGGAAGGTCCAGAGCAAGGCAGACAGGGGCAGGCATGGTGGCACAGTGATGCCGGCATCCCACTTGGGCGTGCTGCAACACCCAGCTGATCCACTTCTGATCCAGCTCCCTTTATTGCACCTGGGAAAGCAGCGGGAGATGACCCAAGTGCCTGCTTGGACCCCTGCCCTCATGTAGGAGACCTAGAAGAAGCTGCAGCCTCTGGGCTTTGGCCTGGCACAGCCCTGGCTATTGTGGCTATTTGGGGAGTAAACCAGCTGATGAGGATCTCTCTCTCTCTCGTCCCTCTAACTCTGCTTTCCAAATAAATTAGACAATAATTAAATAAAAAATTAAAAGTAAATGCACACAGCCCCATGCAATAAAATATACACATAGCCCCACAAGACAGAGAGAATGATGTGGACAAAATATTAATGCCATGGCTGAGAAACTGCTCTGTAACACCAGAGAAAGTTAACAGTAGTTCAATAACCTTCACAGCTGCACTGGCTAATCTGGGTCCATCTTGTTAGCTCACTTACTTCTTTTTCCTACCATTTTCCAAGGGGCTCCTTTTTTTCTTTTAAAGTGTCTTGAGGTTTACTTATTTACTTAGTTGTATTCATTTTATATGGAAGCTGGAGGGGGAGGGGGAGGAAGGAGGGGAGGAGGGGAAGGCTGGAGGAGCAGGGAGGGAGGTGGAGAGCTTCATCTCCCATCCACTGGTTCACTCCCCAGATGCCCCAGTAGCCAGCGCTGGGTCAGGCTGGAATCAGAAACTCCGTGGGTCTCCAGGTGGGTGGCACGGGCCCAGGTACTTGAGCCATCACCTGCTGTCTCCCAGGGTGCGATCAGCAGGAAGCTGGCATCTCCCAGGAACAGAGCTGGGACTTGAACCCAACACCATGATCTGGGATGCAGGCATCCAAGCGATGATGTAACCGCTGAGCCAAGCTTGCACCCCGGGTTTGTCGTTTTAATTGTGCCTATGTTTTCAGCACTGTAACAGAAAGGCCAACACTATTCCAACTTTAAAATTAAAAAATAAATAAATAAATAAATAAATAAAGCCTTAGGGGCAGGGGTTTGGCTTGGCAGATAAGACACTGTTCGGGAACCTGTGGCCCACCTCAGAGAGCGTGTGTTGGATCCCTCACTCTGGCTCCTGGTTCCAGCCTCCTGCTAACGCAGACCCCGGCAGGCCACAGTGATGACCCCAGAAATGGGACCCGCACATGGGAGACTGGAATTGGGTCCCTGGCTCCCAGCGTCAGGATATTTCAGGAGTGAAGAACAGATGGGAGCTTGCTCTCTCTGTCTCTGTCTCTCTGCTTATCCAATAAGGAAATATTTTTTAAGACTCCCAACCTAATAACAACCCCAATGTGTGTCCCTCTCCTGGTGGTGGAAGGCAGTCACTGACATCAGTGCAGGACGGGCAGCAAGGAAGTTCTCAAGTCAGTGCCACAGCAACTCTGATAAAAAGGCTCTGAAAGCAGAAATGGGATTTAGAGGGCTGGCACTGTGGTATAGCGGGCAAAGCCTCTGTCCGCAGTGCTGGCATCCCACAGGGGGTTGCTGCTCCACTTCCAATCCTGCTCCCTGCTGATGGCCTGGGAAACACCAGAAGTTGGCCCAAGTGCCTGTGGCCCTGCACCTCTGTGGGAGACCTGGAAGAACCTCCTGGCTCCTGGCTCTGGCCTGGCCCGGTGCTGGCTGTGATGGCCATCTGGGGAGGGAACCAGTGTATGGAAGATCTCTCTCTGTGTCCCTTTCTCTCTCTCTGTACCTCTGACTTTCAAATAAATATACCTTAGGAAAAAAAGAAATTGGATTGAGGAACAAAACTGGACTGATGTGAAAGTGTAGAAGCAAACACTGGTCCCCAGGAAAACTTAACCTGCAGGAAAGAGAACGAGGCAAGGCAGTCAGATGACTCTCAGCCCATGTGCCTGATGTGGCGGTCGACTATTTAGACCCAGAAAGTAGGTTCTAGTCCTCAATCACAATCAAATCAAAATAAAAAGCCAAAACACTAAATAAAAAAATCTTTCCAGGAATAAAAGTAAAGAGAAATGATTGGCAGATGTTTCACAAAAATATTACAAATGCCTACAGTAATGAAACAGAATGAGTGAGATCAAGACCCATGACAACTAGAAGCAAATGTGCTTGACAGATGGCCTAGATCACACACACAGCCCACAAGGCACATCTGGAAAAGCCTCCATCCTGAAGAAAAACACAGGCCAAGGCAGTAGACATTTACAAACACATGTGATGGGGCTGATGTTGTGGTGCAGTGGGTTAAACAGTCACCTGCAAGGCCTGCATTCCATGAGTGCACGTTGAAATCCCAGCTGCTCCACTTCCAATCCAGCTGGGACTTGAACCAGTGCCCAAATGGGGTGCCATTGCCACTGGCGGAAAGTTAACCTACTAAGCCACCTGCTGGCCCCATAATAGATCTTTATATACAGATTTAAAAAGTGAGAAAGAGGTCAACATAGCAAAGAATGCACACACCATGTCATCACTCCCACTTTGATGATGAAGATTCAGAAAGAAGGGTGATGATATTTCATCAACAGCCTTCTGGGCCTCATGCAGAAAATCATCAGATTACACCTTCCTAGCCTGGAGGCTGAAATGCCCACACCCAGTCACAGAGAACCCCACAGAACCCTCAGACACATCTGAGAAGGTCAGTTCACAACACTCAGCATATTTTTATATACTGTCACAAGCACCTGGAGGATAAATGAAAAAATCCAAATATAGCATTTATAAGCATCAAAAAAATCAAAAATAAAAATTTTTCCAAAATATGTGTGCCTGACCCTAATACCGAAGAGTGCCACAAGTCAGAAAACTGCATGGATTTCAAAAATTTTTGCATCAAAATAAACATTTTTTAATAAATTTTCTGGAATTTATCTCCTTTAATTTTAATTAATTAATTTAATTTGAAAGGCAGAGAGACAGATCTTCCATCTGCTGGCTCACATTCCAAATGTCTACAATAGCTAGGGCTGGGTCAGATCAAACCCTGGAGCTCCATCCGTATCTTCCACACCTGCCTTAAACTTACTTTTTTACAAAAAACATTTTTTAAAGATTTATTTACTTCAGGTAACAGAGAGAAAGGTCCTCCATCTGCTGGTTCACTCTCCAAATGAGCTCGGTTGACTGGAAGCCAGGAGCCAGGAGCTTCTTCCAGTCTCCCACGCTGGTGCGGGGACCCAAGCCCTTGGGCCATGTCCTGCTGCCTTCCCAGGCCATAGCAGAGAGCTGGATGGGAAGAGGAGCAGCTGGAACTAGAACCAGCACCCATATGGGATGCTGGCGCCACAGGCAGAGGCTTAGTTCACTATGCCACAGCGTCTGACCCTAAACTTACTTTTTAATTTCATTTTCCATGAACTTTTTCAAGCTCCTTCATACACACACACAGGTACTTCAAAGTTTGTGGACAATGGAATTAAAGGTTAAGTTCGGGGGCCAGTGTTGTGGTGCAGTGGGTTAAGCAACCACCTGCAACACTGATGTCCCTGGTTCAAGTCCCGGCTGCTCGACTTCCAATCCAACTCCCTGCTAATGCACCTGGAAAAGCAGCAGCAGATGTGGGAGACCTGGATGGAGCTTCAGGCTGCTGGCTTCAGCCTGGCTCAGACATGGCCACTGAAGCCATTTGGGGAGTGAAACAGTGGATGGCAGATCGAGCTCTCTCCCTAACTCGGCCTTTCAAGTCAATAAATCTTTAAACACACACACACATACACACACAAAAGCTGTTTGCTTTGGTATCAGGAAAGTCTTCCCATATTACATTTTCCATGAAGTTTATGAAGATCCTTCATATAAATGTAACTAATGAATCATTCAGTCAGCGGGGAAATGCACACTAAAGCCACACCAAAGATCCCCTTTAAAGGCCTACATTTTCCGACAAGAGCAAGAGTTGCTGAGGCTATGACCAGCTGGCCTTCTGCCCTCTGCTGGGAGACCACAGGACAATCCCACAGAGGTGGCTCCTCATGCAGCTCTCCCAGGCCACAGACACGCGCACAACAGCTGGGGTGCAAGTGACCAGCTCCTCACCAACGGGGAAATGGACAGACAACTGCAGTCATGTGATGGATACCACCTGGCGATAAAAGAGCACCCACCGGGAGACAGCAGCTGTGCACCGGCCGGGGCAGGACGGGATGCAGACTACCAAGCACATCCAACGCCACTCATACGAAGTTCTCAGACGGGGCACTGGTCTAGGGACAGACGCTTGCGACGGCCCGGATCGGGCACAGCTGCGCTGCCAGGTGTCTCGGGGACTTGGTGACTGTGGCAGCCACACAGCTGCACCCATTCATGAGCAACTCCAAACTGCACCTACCATGTATGCAAGTCATGGCTCAACAGATTTTAAAGAAGATAGACTTATCTTAAAACCTTAAGTCGGGGGCCAGTGCTGTGGCACAGCGGGTGAACGCCCTGGCCTGAGTGCCGGCATCAAATGTGGGTGCCTGTCAGGGGAGACCCAGAAGAAGCTCCTGGCTCCTGGCTCAGATCATGCAGCTCCGGCCGTTGCGGCCATCTGGGGAGTGAACCATCAGATGGGGGACCTCTCTCTCTCTGCCTCTCCTCTGTGTAACTCTGACTTTCAAATAAATAAATAAATCTTTAAAACAAAACAACCTTAAGTCGATGAAGATTAAAAGATGTAACAGAAAAGCAGACACCTATGTGGTGGGTGACCAGGGCAGCAGCTAAGATGCTCTCGGGACGCCCACATGCCGTATGGAGGGCCTGGATTACAGTCCCAGCTCTTCTTCTGATACCTCTTCCTGCTCTGCACACCCTGGGAGGCAGCAGGTGGCAGCTCAGGCACTTGCGTCCCTGACACTTATGTGGGAGACCTGGACTGAGTTCCAGGCTCCTGGCTTTGGCCTTGTTGCAGGCATCTGGGGAGTGAGCCAGGGGATGAAAGATCTCGGTTTCTTTCTCTTCCCCAGGGAACAGGTATAAAATAACTCAGACCCCCATCCCAGTGACCAGCCACACGATCCACGCGGGGCTCAGGACCCACTTGGCTGGCGTGCCCACTGCCGACCCCCACAGATCTGTATCACCACTGCCTCCTACCACTTCAAGAACCACCGCCCCCAGGACATTCCGGAAATCCTGAACAGGACATGTGCCAGGCGAGGATGCCAGGGGGCTTCTGCTTCCGGGTGAAATCCCCCGTGGTGACTGCAGTGCTTGTCTGGGAAGCCAGTCGTCATGTGAGCAAGCCACCAAGGGCAGCCTGCATGCAGCTGTGTAGACTCAGGAAGCGTGGGGTGCGCCGGGGGAAAGCAGGGCAGAGAGGGCAAGAAGGGGGAGGGTGGGGAACTGAAGGGATTTGCCATTCCCGATCCTGCCCCCTGCTTGAAATAAATTCCAAAGAGCTGAAAATAGAAACAGAAAACCTAGTAAATCCTACATCTATCCCATTCTGACCCAGAGGCCTGAGGAGGGGCTCAAGGGGCCTGCTGCTAAGGGTGGGCATGGCCAACCCCACCTTCCCATGCTGTTGCACAGGAGGTGGAGCCCCAGGAAGACACAGAGCTCCCCTGAGGGCTTGCTGGAGACACTTGGTGCTGCTCCTCTGTGAGGAACAACAGCAACTGTCACTAGGAGGAACACGGGAACCTGGCACTCAGAGCAGCTCGGCAGGCAGAGGGTGTAGGGCTCTGGGCATGCCTAGGAGGAACAACCCACCCAGAAATGGCCCTGGGAAGACAGACTTGACACAGAAGCTCGTCTGGGGGCAAAATCATTCTGAACTCCACGTGGGTCTCTCACGGCACATATCTTCCATGACCTTTGGGAAGACTCTGCGTATGCATGGACTTCAAAATGCTTTGGCATCAAAATAAACTTGTCTTTTATTCCCTTTTCAAGTTTCTATTTATTTATTTTCATTTTTATCTGAACGGCAGAGAGACAGTAAGAGAGAGAGAAGAAAGAGATCTACCTGTTGGCTCATGCTTCAACAGCCAGGGCTGGGCCAGGCTGAAGCCAGGAGCTTGGAATGCAATCTGGGCCTCCCACGAGGATGGCATGGACGCTGCCTCTGAGGGCACACACTCACAGGATACTGGATGGAGAGCAGCAGGACAGGAACCAGGCACCCAAATATGGGATGCAGGTGCCCCAAGCAGCACCTTAACCACTGCGGTAAAGTCTACCCAAAACTTGTGTTTTAATTCCATTTTCATGAGCTTTTTGAAGTACCATTGTGGGTGCAAATATCACAAAACCTGAAACCCTGTTGGTTCCAAGCACCTCAGACAAGGGATCCTCAGCCTGTAGCTCATCCACTATTCTTCATTCAGTTTCCTACTGGCCAGGGAGCGTGCAATGAAGCAAGTGCCCACGTCCACGGAGCCCATGCTCCCGTGGAAGCAGATGACGCCACACCAGCCAACCAAGCGCTTGGAGGAGAGGCTCTGTGATGGGACGTCACAGCTGAGACAGTGACGGGGCAAGAAGGACCCAGTGTACCTGCCTGGCCAGCACCACCTCATCTCTGCAGAGCCCAAGCAAGCCCCATAGGACATGGTATTGGGCACACCAAGGCCATGCCCTAAGGACACAGGACTGAAGTCGCCTGGATCAGCCATCACTGCCTGCAGAGTGGGAGGAGGGCTTGAGACCCACCTGTCTCACCTCTTCTGGGCTGGGCTGAATACCTTGTGAGGTACAAGAAGCAAGGTTTCAAGACTTGCAAAGATCACTCACCGGAGGCAGCTGAAGGGCGGTCACCTGGGGGGCACCCCGCATACTCTCTTCCTGAAAAACTGGCATGTCCTGCAGAACTGAAAGAGACCAGACGAGGGTGTCCCAGTGAGCCAGTCCCCGTCCCACTCCAGGGCTGTCTGGCAAAGGAGACCAGGGGATGGCACCAGCAGACAGCTCGTCTGCAGGGAGGGTCTTAAGATGATACACTCCCCCATGTACAGCTTCTCTCTGCGTGGGTCAGGACGATACCCTACCCACTCTCCCCCAGCGCCTCTCCCTTCCCCCCACACCCTCAGGGCCTCTCCCTACCCAGCCTGGGAGGGTGTCCCCCACACACCTCCAGGGCCTCTCCCTGCCTGGTCCAGGACGATGCCCCCACACTCAGGGCCTCTCCCTGCCTGGCCCAGGCCGTATACACAGACACTGACTCTGGCAAGATGTGCTCCCAAGTTCATGCTGAGGTTCCAACCCTACAGCAGCACAGGCTGTGACTGCACTTGAAGGGCTGTTTCAGGAGGTAAAGCTCCAGAGGGTGAGCCCAGACCTACCCAGACTGGAACACACCCAGGTGCCCACCCTCCTAAGTCAGTGACAGAGCCCCTGCCTGGGCCCAGTGAGCAGCCCTGGAATTCACACACCCACCTCACCTTAACCATGCAGAATCCTGTACAGTATTGCATGTGGATTTAACAGGTGTTTTGTTTCTAGTGAAAAGCTGATTACAATGCCAAGGATGACAGCACAGACCCCTGGCCTCCCAGACTACTGCACAACCAGGATTCCTCCCATCCAATGGCACTGGAACCACACCTGGGCCTGCCACCTCCCTGTGCCTCCCTGGAACACCACAAGGACCCTGCAGGCCACCGCTCAGCTGGGGCCACAGGTTCCCGGAAGCTCAGGCCACAGCTGTGGACACGGTCCAGAGATGCACCTCCAAGACACCCACCTCTGCAAGCGCTCCCTCTGGGAGGGCAGAAGTCCCCATAAGGCTCTGAGTCCATCGTCCGAGGGACGGACCCACACTCTGGGAATGGCTCACAGCTCCTCAGGGGCCAGGGGAGTCAAGAGCCACCACCCTAACAAAGCCCACACCCACCACACAGGGCCGCCAGGGGCTGCGTACCTGCGTCCCCACTGAGCTGGCCTGGAGGTCTGCTTGGGAGCCCCGGGCTCTGAGCCAGGGCCACGGGCTCGGTGTCTGGGCCCCCAGCAAGGTCCCTGTGCGGTTCCGCCTGCAGCTGCTCCTGCTCCTGCTCCCCATCCTCAATCACCACGGGGTCCTCACAGTGCTTGAGCTGCAACCCCAGAGGGGGCTTTTCAGACTGAGGCAGAGCACACCGGGGCTGGGGCTCACCACAACTCCACAGCTGCCCACCCCAGGCTCCGTCCGGGCTCGGGCAGGTGCAGTGGCCCCTCCCACACGCGGACCGGGGCTGATCGCCAGCTCACCCACTGCCAGGGCCGGCCCGGCTCGCGCTCCAGCGCCTCCACCGCGGCCACTGCCTGTTCGCCGCTCTCTGGCTCCTGCGCCCGCACCCAGCTCTGCACCTCTCGGGGCAGGATGGCCAGGAACTGCTCGAGCACCAGCAGCTCCAGGATCTGCTCTTTGCTGCGCCGCTCCAGCCGCAGCCAGCCCCGGCACAGCTCGCACAGGCGGCGCAGCGCCTCACGCGGCCCCGCCGCCTCTTGGTAGCGGAAGCGGCGGAAGAGGCGGCGGGAGGACTCCGGGCTGGGCGGCTCGGCGCGAGGGCCGGGGTCTTCCCCTGGGGGGCTCTTCATCTTCCGGGGCTCTTCGCTCTCCTTCGGAGCCAAGACTCGGGGGCACAGCGCCGTGGGCATGACCAGCTGCAGTGACGGGGTCAGCGGCCGAAGACAAACCTGGTTCCAAACAGAAATCGCGGCTTCGACGCTGGGTCCCGGGGTCACGCCTGGGGCAGGGGGTCGGGAAAGCCCTGGAGTGCGTAACAACCCTTCTGGACACAAGACAGTGCCACCGCCTGGGTCCCTAATGCCGTGGGGGTGGAAGGGGTGGGGGAGCGGGAGAAGAGCCTCCAGTGGCCCTCGGGAGAGCAGGTCGATCTGGACAGGACCCACGGGTGCCCAGCCCTCTACCTTGAAGCTTCGGAGCTCCAGTGGCTGCCCTCGCCCTGCGGGCCTACACACTCGGAGCACCCCACCCTGGGCTGCAGCGCGGCTGGGAAGAGCCTGGGCCGGACCCGGAGGTCACCAGAGGCCGCACCTGCAGGTTGCCACAGAAAAACAGGGAGGCACCTAGCACCAGGTCTTCCCACGAGTCTGGCGTCCAACTCACTCGGACATCTACCCCATCTGAAGTCGCCCTGTCCCCACCCAGAGACCTGGTCCCTGCTCTGGGCTCCACCCACAGTCCTTCCCGCGCAGGCAGGGACGCCGCACTCCCACGGCGGGCTCAGAGCTCCTGAATCCCAGGCTGTAATGCAGGAGGCACAGCCCCGCAGAAGCCGCTGCCGTCGGGGGGGACCTGAGGCCACTGCAGCTGAGCGCGGGTCTCCGAGGCACATCTTGAGCACCGGAAAAGTGGGCGGGCAGGTGGCGGCACGGTGCCCTGCCCGGTATCTGCTGCTCATACCCCCTCTGCACTGACACCTGGGCGTGAGCGCCGCTTAGGCGTCCCGGTGAGGAGGCCGTGCGGGCCTGGCTCCTGCTCTGCAGGAGGACCCATGAGGCCAGAGCAGCTGCAAAACCTCCGATGGGCACCCAGGTCTCTGCAGTGCAGCCGGCGCACGGAGCGGGCACTGGGCCAGCGGCTGTGACCCGTCGGCGCCACCTGCCCGCGCTCCGCACCGGCCCGGGACTCCCAGCCACACCTGCAGCCCCAGTACCCAGGCCCCTCGCCCCTTTGTCCCCCGGCCCCTGGCGCGAGCTCGGCCCGGCAGACGCGAGGGGCGGCCCCGGGGGCCGCGGTCGCCGGGATCCTCCGAGGAGCGCACTCTCCTCCCACCCCGCGCACCTCGCGGCCTTGGCTCGGCCCCGGCGTCCACCCGGGCCCCTCGCACGGCGCCGGATCCAGCCCCCGGCCGCGGCCGCCGCTGATCCTCTCCGGTGAGGCCTCCCCGCAGGGCCCGATTCGCTGCGGGCCGGCGCCGCCCGCGCGGGCCGCGCCTCGCGCCCGCCCCGCCGCTGCCAGCCGCGCGCCCCCGGCCGCTGGGCGCCGCCGAGCCCGCGGACGCCGAGGCGCGGAAAGGCCGGACCCCGCGCGCCCTCCCCCGGGACACTTCCTGCTCCGCTCTAGGACGGCGGAGGTCTCCGCATCTCAGTGGTTCGCTCCCGCCCCCGGCCGAGGTGTGCGCGGGGCGACACCCGACACCCGACACCGCCGGGCCCGCCCCGCCCCGCCCGGGCCCCGGCCCCGGCGTGCCGAGGGCCCAGGCGGGGGTCGCGCCGGCCCGGGCCGTTCCCCTCCTTGGTGCCCCTCGCCCACGTCCCGGGAAGGCGGGCCAGGGGCGCTTCCCCTCCCGGTGCCCCTCGCCCACTCCCGGAGAGGGCGGTCTGGGGGCGCAGGAAGGCCTCTCCCACCCCCTCCCTGCTCCACCGCCGCCTGATCTCCGCGAGTCCCGAAGGCGCGGCCGTTGGCTCAGCCGAGGGGCGGAGGGGAGACAAGACTTGGACCCCAGGAGGTGGTGAAGGAGTTAGGGTCTCTGCCCCGGTGCTGTCACCCACGTTTCAGATGGGGCTTCCCCGGGCCAGCCGGTTTGTCAGGCCCTGAGTCCGGGTGGCCAGCGCTCCACGCCCTGCTCCATCCTCTGTCCCCCTCCAGGGCAAGGAGAGGAGAGGGAAGGCAGACTCCTTCAGACCCTCAAGGGCAAGCAGTGGGAAGCCCTCCTCCCTAGAAGTGGCCTGGTCTAGTAGGTGGAGGGTTGTCTGGATACCAGAGGCCCAGTGGCCATGGCTGTCCTGGTGCCTTGGGCCTGAGCCCCTTCCTCCCCTCCTGCATTGACTGCAATGGGCGCCAGCACTAGTTAGATGCTGGGATCCTCTGGCTCCTTAGGGAAGGAGTGGGGCTCCTGTGTGGACAGCGATTCCTCCTGGGCTGCCAGCCAGACCCCAGTTGGCCTGGCTCTCCACCAAGTGGCAGGGGCTATGCTGGATGCAGAAGGGCCCTGTAAGAGCACCTGCCAGGAGCCACACCTGGACTCAGGTGCTGGTCACAGCTGGTGTGCTCGTCCATGAGTAGTAGTCTGGGACCAGCTCTAGGGGACTGGAATTGGTGCTCGCTGCTCCGCACCCTGTAGTTCTAAAGTAGGTAAAATGTAGGGCTCTGAGGTTGCCGCCATCAGCTTGGTCCCACCAGCAGTTAGGATCTTTCCCCTTAGAGACAGCTCCCTGCCAAGCCCCTCCTCTGTGTTCCTTCTGCATTTAGCTCAGCTCAGAGGTCAGAGTCTGGGTTCTGAGTCAGCACCTGGGCTAACTCCTGGGGCCTCGTCATTTCCTAGCCAGATGACCACAGGCCCTTGTAACTCCTCTGTGCCTCGGTTTCCTCCTCAAGAAACAGGGATGATGCTGCCAACTGCATTTTGTGGTCTGTGGGATGGTTCAGTCGTTCAGCAAACCTGCACTGAGGACCTGCTAGGCACCTGTGGTCCTGGTGGCCTTCCAGGCCATGCTGGGCATCCTGAACACAACTGGCTGCTGGTGGGAAGGGGCAAGGGCCAGGAAACAAGAGTAGAGTCTGGGCAGCGTTGTGGGGTAAAGGGTTAAGCAGCCATCTGCAATGCTGGCGCCCCATGAGTCCTGGCTGCTCCACTTCCAATCCAGCTCCCTGTTGATATGCCTGGGAAAACAGCGGAAGATGGCGAAGTCCCTGGACTCCCACCCACGTGGGAGACTAAGAGGAAGCTCCTGGTTCCTGGCTTCAGTCTAGCAGAGTCTTGGCTGTTGTGACCCTTTAGGGAGTGATCTCTCTCTCGCTCTCTCTCTCTCTCACTCTCTCTCTCTGAGGGAAAAAAAAAAAAGAGTAAAGGCAATGACGTGAGTGATGTGTGCCCTAGAGGGAAGCAAGTGGAGCAGCGTCCAGAGGCAGGAGTGCTGGGGAGGGGCTGGCAGTGGGAGAGCAGGGCAGGCCTTACTTCCGGTCACATTTGAGACTGAGGAGTTGACCAAGCTCAGCTCTGGATGGAGGGGGCCTGGAGAGGGTGGCCAGTGAGCCAGGGAGGGGCTGTCAGCTGGAGGTGAGCACACTGGAGGCTGTGGGAATTGTTTTCCTCTGCACCAGAGGCCACCAGCGCTTGCTGCATCACAGTGCCCATCCTACCCTGGGGAGACAGGTGGACAATAAAGAAATGACAGTATAATTCCATAGGTGAGAGGGGCTGGAGAACAATAGCAGGGAATGTACTGGGACAATGTGGGGGGGCGGGGTGCCCCCCCAACCATGTCACTGGGCAGAGGTTGGGGAAAGAGCACGAAGCAGCAGCTTACTTCACTGGGCAGAAAAACTGAGAGGATGGTGAGCCTGGGCCTAATGCGCTACTTAGCTTTTTTTTTGCTTTCCTTCTCTTTTTAAATATTTACGTATTGAAAGGCAGAGTGAGAGAGAGACAGACAGACAGTGAGCATGTCTTCATCTACTGGTTCACTCCCTAAATGTCTGCAACACTCATGGCTAGGCTAGGCCAAAGCCAGGAACCTGGAACTCCATCCAGGTCCCCCATGTCAGTGGCAGGGACTCAAGTACCTGGGCCATCATCTGCTACCTTCCTGGCACATTAGCAGGGAGGTGGACCTGAATCAGAGGTGCTGGGACCCGAACCAGCACTGGGATATGGGATGCTGGTATCCTAAGTGGCGACTTAACCAGCAGCACCACAATGCCCACCCCATGGACTCTTCATCTTACCAAGATCATCAGGCAGGACAGACAGCAGGTTCCCTTTAGAAGCAGGGACCCAGGCTGACCCCTGGAGCCAGCTGGTGAATGCTGGCCCCATCTAGAGCCAACCAGGCCCACTCCTCACTGCAGGCATCAAGGAGTGAGGGGCTGTGATAGGAGATGGGACTGGGGGAATGCAGGTTTCTTGGAAGGGGCTGGGGATGACTATGGGTTGGGGACTGGCAGATTTTCCATCCCTTGAGGGAGAGAGTCTGGCAGGACCAGAAAGTGCTGGGAAAGGTAGGGGGAGGAGAGAGGATGGGAGAAAAGGGAGGGATAGTTCCTGCCCACTTTGAGGCTGAGGGAAATGCAGTTGGTGTGGAGCTCTGAATCCCAGTGAGGGGACCTGGAGCCAGGAACCGTAAGGGTCTGGGTAGAGCCAAGGCTGTGGGGCTGTGGTGGGTGCAGTGCAAGGTGGCCATGAGCTTCATTTTAGAGATGGGCCAGATAACAGGCCCCGCCCTGGAGGAGGTAGGCAGTGAGCATCTGTGCAGCTTCCTGCAGCTCCACCCACCCTCCGGAGTAGGGGCACGGTGTGTCTGCATGCTTCTGTGGCAGTAGATGTGATTGACATTTAAATCTGTAGACTAGATACTGGATGACTCTGATGGGCTAGGCCTCATCCAACCACTTGAAGGCCTTGGGAGCCAAGACAGAGGTGCCCCAGGAAGCATGGTTGGGACCTGCAGCCCACCCTAGCCACAGCCTGCCTCTCAGACTGGGATTTGCAAACCCCAGGATCTCAGGAACCAGTTCCAAAAGCTGCGGTTCTCTCTCCCCAACCCCCACCCCAAAACCCTTACCTCCCCTCTCCCCTCTGTTCTCTCCCACCCCGAGGCAGAGGGGGGACTGGAATGTGAGAGAGAGCAGGGATGACAAGGTCATCTTGCAGCTGGAAAGGTGAATGGGCTGTAGCAGAGGAAATGAGAGGTTACTCACAGAGAGTGAACTTTGATGGACAAATGGCTTGTCTAAGAGTCAGTAATTTCTATGAGGGCAGCCATTATGTCTTTATGCCTCACCCCTGGGGACAGATGACAAATAGTGTGGAGCCATCACCTCATCAGGGACCCTTTTACTCACCCAGAGTGAGGGACAGCTTCTGGGTGAGTTCTAAGAAATGCATCAGGAATTGTCATCACGTGTTTGGGGGAGGGGAAAGTCCATAGGGTAGCTGTTCAGAAAGATGCTCCCACATAGGATGTGTATCATGGTGGTCAGACTTAAGCACATGGGGCAGAGATGTGTTAAAGTGAAGTAAAGGGTGCCTGTCAGACACGTTCTATCTGGTTGGCAGGCATTGCTCCAGCTGCAGGGTCCAGCCTGGTTCAGGGTGGCTGGGAATTGAGGCTCCCTGGAATGTGACTGAAACCTGAAACCATTCTAGGGACCAACTATAGGGGCCTTTGGTGTCTTGAAATGGAAATGAGTCACTGTAAAGACTTTTAGTGGGGGGTGGAGGAGTCTGAGTTGGTGACACACCCCAGTGCTAGAAGCTCCTTGGTAAAGTGGTCAGCATAGCCCTGGCCCTAGCAGATGCAGGGCCAGGGGTGTTGGTTCTGTGACTTCGACTCGCAGACCTCTTGGGGCATGGACACCCAGAAGCGGCTGGAGTCTGTGGGAAGGGCTCTGCTTGCTGATGACTCTCTGGCTACACAGGCCTCCCAGCTGGCACAGCGGCCTGGGTACATCTATTTTCTCTTTTGCTGAAAGCAAAAAGACCTCCAAACACACTGGTGGGCTAGTGTAAGTCACTGCTCTAGAAGTTGTCACTAGAGAGAGGGGTGACTCCCTCCCTCCCCTTGAGTTCACCTTGTGTGCCGTCATGAGCCTGTGTGGTGATGTCGGCCCAATCAGCCCACCAGGGGCAAGGCTGTAGCTTGACAAGGTTAGGTGTGCGAGACCACCAGACCTGTTGTCTGGGTACAGTGTAGTAGAGGGGCTGGGACGTGGCTAAAAGGGAGAAGGCTTTTGTGAGGTTGGTTATGGATGAAGGAGGAGGAGGATGTCGGGCGTGTTACAAGTAATTTTCCCTGGGGATCTTTAAGGCTCAGTCTAAACAGCGAATTACACTCTGGGAGGCAGATGAGACAGAGGACTCACTAGCACAGGCCTTGGAGGAGGAGCACAGCAGCCATGCAGGTAAGAGACAGGGAGATATGGGGGCCCAAGGATAGGTCAGAATGCTGCACACAAGCACGAGATTTGAGGGGACTTGGCTGGTCACTGTGTCATAGGCAGGGGAGGTCGAGAAGGGGACTTCGAGGCAGAGATGTGCCTATCCTACTGACACACCAGGTTGTCTGGAGCAAGGTACTTGGACCT